CCTAAACCCTAAACCCTACAGTATCCGGGTATTCGGTCGAATCATAAAGCTCTGAGGCTCCTCAATTCAAATCAACAGCACCAAGCGCTAATGTAGGGGCCTTAGCAATAATAATCAGAAGAATAATAATAAGAATAATAATAGTACTAATAATAATAATAAGAATAATAACAATAATCATAATAATAATAATAACCTATAATATTTTGGGGGTTCCGTATTAAAACAATAGATTTCTATACCCCCAAACCCTATTCTAACTATTAAGGCCCCTATGTTAGAGCTGACGAGAGGGTCAAAGAGTCGAATTCCAAGCATGGGAGTTTAACAGCAACGGGGCTTTGGGTCTGTTCTGGATTCAGCAATGCGGTGTTGAGCCTGGAACTTCGGGTAGAAGTACTTGCTGCCCTTGCCTGATCTACCGAAGTAAAAATACTCCTAGCAATTGGCTTCTTCAACAGACTTGCTTCAACAGCTTGATCGCCTTACCGTATATAGGTTTGTTGGGAATCTACTTGGAGGGTCATGGGACTTAGTAAGTAAGGTTATAAGCCCCTCAATTGGGGTTATAAGTATAGCTATCTTAGTTAACCCTACTTACTAAGTCCCATGATCCTTTAAGTAGTTTGGATCCGGAAACGGTTTTCTTTAGTCTGCCTCTTTAAAGTTGGCTGCAGGGCCTGCGGTTTGCTGAGGTTTGTTTGCGTCTTAGGGTTTAGGGTTTACTTAAAGGATCATGGGACTTAGCAAGTAGAGCTTTTCTTATAACCCCAATTAGGGGACTTATAACCTTACTTACTAAGTCCCATGATCCTCCAAGTATGGTTTAGGGTTCAGGGACCGCAGACAGAAGGGTAGCCCGCAGCATCACCTTTTTGACCCGTTCGCAGGAAGGCTCAAGGAAGCAGGCTAGCTGTCAAGGGCTGTTGCTCTCCCACAGGGATGGCTGCAGCCGTGGTCCAAACCTTCATCGATATGTGTGATCCTGAGGGCCTGCGGCAATTCGCAGGGGCCGATTTCGATTGGAATCAGCCTATGGACGACCACCCGCCACCACTTTGCTATGCGATCTGTCGGTTTCTCCTCGACAGTAGTTCCCAATTTCCAATTCCTGGAAAGCTCGAGGTGATCAACACGATCCTGCAAGCAGGCGCAGATCCTATGCGTGCACTTCCTCCGGGGCAGAAAGTCAAGTTGAAGTCAGACAGGGACTTCGATGCGAGAGGTTGCTCGACAATGCAACTCACTTGTGAGATGTACCAGGCTGCGGCTGCCATGCGACACGAGGGGGGAAGAATAGAGGCGCTTGCACAGTTTCTGGCAGATGTCATCGTGCTCATGAAGCAAGCAACAGATCCGAAGGTCCCGAAGATTGTGGTGCACGAGGGCGTCGTCAACCTGTGGGAGTCTGTGCGTGAGATGAGTTCGACACACAACGTGATCTTCGAAACCTCAGACGGTGAGGTTTCTGCGCATGACCATATCCTTATGGCCGCCTCGCCTGTTCTTAAGGCCATGCTCCAGTCCGCCATGAAAGAAGGCAAAGACAAGCGAGTTCAAGTGAGGGATTCAACGAAGTGCGGCATGACGCTCTTCGTGGATGTGCTGTATACAAGCTCTACATGCCTCGAACTTCAGTACAAGACCATACTCGAAGCCTTCGACCTGGCCCACCGTTGGCAAGTGCAGCATGCGACAGACATCCTTGCAGAGACGCTGAAACTTGGCCACGGTTGAATAACCTTCTGCCTGCTCAAGAAAACTTAAACTCGCTTTTTCGTCGGTCCTAAGCTTTCTACCTATAGTCTCCTTTGTAGCTCTAGCTCCTTTTTTTGGTTTACTTTATAAGATCCTAAATATGAAACAGGGTAAACCATTAAAAAAGAACTGCAAGAAAACACCAGCGATGGCCCAGGAAAGGGGAGATCCGCGTTGAGAGCTTTGCGGAGATCGCCGAAGCAGCCGTCCTCAAGGTCGTGCACCCTAGAGTAAACGTGTAAACCCGAACCCCTCAACTCCGTCCTAAAACCCTAAGCCCTACACCCCGCTAACATCTCAAACCCTAAATTCTTAAACCCTAAGCACTAAAGCCCTGAACCGAAAATCCTGAACCTCTAGGCCCTCAAGCCCTAAACCCTGAGCCCCAAGGCTCTGAACCGAAAGCCTTAAACCCCTTTACCTTCTAGGTTTCTCTAAATTAAACCCTAAACCCTAAACCCTAAACCCTGAACCGTTCAAGGCCGTGGAGCCTCTACAGCGAGCGTGCATGGAGTTCGGGACCAAGGACAAGGAGATCCAGACGCTGCTGAAGAAGAACGGTCTCTTTGATACGGTGAATTTGTAGGGCTTTTGTTGTTCAGGGTTTGGGGTCGTGGTTGGGTATGACGGTTTCTGGTTGTGGGATTTCAGCAATCGGTCTTCGAAAGGACTGCTTGCTGTTTCGTGTGTGGCGGTTCGTCGCAACCATACAACCTTTTGCAAGTTTACAACCCCGGTTGACAAGTCTTTAGCACTCTGTTATCGCCAACGAAGGCCAGAAAGCCTATAGCCCCTTCTCAAAGCTTTATAAACAAAACCTACAAAGCCTTTCCAAACCCCTCTACTTGGAGGATCATGGGACTGAGTAGGTAAGGTTATACGTCCCCTAATAGGGGTTATAAGTACAGTTACCTTAGTTATAACCCCACTTACTGATCCTCTAAGTAACTCGAGAGCCCGAATTGTGCGAATCTTAGGCCTTCCGCCGGCTGTCCCAAACCCCAAACCCTAAACCCTAAACCCTAAACCCTAAACCCTAAACCCTAGGCCTTCCGCCGGCTGTCCGGAAGCTCTTGGGGAAGCGCGAAGCCGAGGATGAGCCTGGAAAGCCAAAGCGCAGAAGGCTTTGAAGATCTCTTTAGCTACTTCAAGGATCATGGGACTTAATAGGTTTAGGGTTTAGGGTTTAGGGTTTAGGGTTACCTACTTAAAGGATCATGGGACTTAATAAGTAGGGCTGAGGGTCCGGGCTTAAGGTTTATAGGGCGTTTCCTTAGGGTTTAAGGTTTAGGGTTTAGGGTTTACTTAAAGGATCATGGCACTTAATAAGTAAGGTTATAATTTATAATTAAGGTAACTATACTTATATTTACTTATAACCCCCGATTAAGGGACTTATAACATTACTTACCAAGTCCCATGATCCTCCCAGTACTTGTCCTCGTAGAGTCCGTATAACTCTAGATCAGGGGGCGTATGCTTAAGATCCGCCGGCAAGTAGGTTCTGGTAGTTTAGGGCTTAAGCAATGGCAGGGGGAGATTGTACTGCTTTGAAGTTGCCATAGGAAGGCATCGTCATCTGGATAGAGAGCCGTCAAAACAATCACATGAGCCGCTAGGTCACTGGCTCACATTACAAGCAATATCAAGTAGTTCAGATGTATCACAACATGACCCTCGCGATGTGTGCCATCATCATTTTGACAAACATAATATGGTCAATCTTTGCTATGTCTGTGTTGACATGGGGGACCTGCAGAGCTCGGAGAAAGGTGCGATTGCCGTGAACATGATGCAGCACACCTCAACCCCCCAAACTCTTCGGTGATTCGGGCCTAGGGCTGTGAGGTTACCTGCAGGACACGCTTGACGGTTGGGTTCAGGGAAATTGGACCTAATTCTTCCCTCTCTTGCCGAGGCACGCAACCTAGCGACGGGGAGAATCCACATTCCTGTACGGGGTTTAGGCTTTAGGGTTCAGATCTACAAATCAGTGTAGACCCTCGAAAACATAAACAGTAAACGTATGCTGTTTGGGGCTAACTGTAGATTGTATGGCCTCTAGCATTCAGCACTCAGGGTTGCGAGCACACCGTTGTTTGCTTGGAGCCGGCTCGAGATGCACTAGGTTTCTCAAGAACTGGAGCCATGTTTCCTGAATGACCCTGTGTAGTCGACATGGGAGTTTCCGAAAATTAGCGGTACCTTCTTTTGGTGTCCTTATAATAAGGATCCTACTATTTAAGGTACTACATTAGGGTCCCCTGTTTTCGGAAACCCCCACATGTACATCACCCCAACGGATTTCGAGTTCTTCGAGTTTTTCGGGGCCCCGGTGGCTACAATGCTCTACCGGGCCTGCCATGACCCCGAAACAGCGAAAACTCTCAGCCCGAGCCTTCATGGTTCGTGCAAGGAGCAGTGCATAGGGTTTAGGGTTTAGGGTTTAGGGTTTTGGTTTGGGGTTTAGGGTTTAGGGTTTAGGGTTTAGGGTTGCTGCTCGGAGCCCCCGCTTATGATTAACCGAAGGAAGTCATGTTTTTTTTTTTAAGGCTGAGGCTTGTAATATGGGGGTCGGAGCATTTTTTGAAACTTCACTAGCCTCTGATAGTCCCCAATACACTTCTTGTAAACTTATCCCAAATCCCCCTCTACTTAGAAAGGGCCGTATATTTGGTTTCAGGGTTTAGGAGACGGTGAAGGGTATGTGGATCCTATGATGTGGGGTTGCGAGCCCACCCTAAATCCAAAACCCAAAACCCAGAAGACAGCAAATTCGGCCCTGCAGCGATACCTGGGAAACCTTCAAGAAAAAACGACACTAAAACCCCGAACAGAGCAAGAGCCAAATTGCGCACCCCTAAATCCAAACAGCATTGGAGACGAAGACCGTAAACCCCAAGAAGTCAAGTTTAAAGCTTCAGCCTTCAAGCCTAAACCCTAAACCCTCCAAAAAAAACCCTAAGCCCTAGACACTGAACCCTAAAGCCCCTGAACCTAAACCCCTTCATAAAGCCCTGCGGAGCAACCGATTCTAAACCTGAAGCCCAATTTCGGGTTTAAGGTTTAGAGTATAGGGGTTTAGGGTTTAGGGTATACCATAACTCCCATAGTTTAGGGTCCTTAAGGGAATGCAGGATTTCTATCTTGTCAGCAGAATGGCAGGTGACGAACTGGATCCAACAAGTCTTTGAGCTTCTGGACTTCAAGCGGCGTCCTCGGAGGACTCAGGGGATTTAGGGGGTTTAGGGGTTTNNAACCCTAAACCCTCCGCCCTAAATCCCTCAACCTCCTTCCTGCCCCGCGCATGTGCCGTCCGTTAGAATTGGGGATCGTAACCCGGAGCCATAAGACCCTAAAGGAACCCCAAGACCCTACACCCTAAAACCCTNNTAGGGTTCAGGGTCCAGGGTTTAGGTTTAGGTTTTAGGGTTTAGGAAAGCACAGAACTGGCAGTACATGTGTAGGATGTTGTTGCGCTTCCTCGTCTGCGGTCTAGGGGTCAGGGTTCAGATTGAGGATTTCGGTTTAGGGTTCAGTATGCCGATATCCTGAGGATCGAAACTAGCACCAAGCAACACCACAGTGCTCAGCCTGAATAGTTACCGATATTCCCTAAATGTTCCTGAGACAAGCTATATACTAGACTAACCACAATGTACCCCAACACCCGATTCTGATTATGCAGGTCCTAAACCCTAAAACCTTAAAGCCCTAAAACCCAAAACCCTAAAGCCCTAAACCCCAAACCCTAAAACCCTAAAGCCCTAAACCCTAATCCCTAGGCTACAGTGCTCCCACAGACATTGGGCCTGGTAGTGGACCCCGGCTGAACGCGCCCGACCTCAAGACCCCAGCCTGCCCTACGCTGCACCTCAAAGCCTAGATCCCGAACCCTAAATCCTAAGCTCTGAGTTTAGGGTTTAGGGTTGAGGGTTTAGGGTTGAGAGGCCTAGATCATAATCTCACCTGGTGGAGCCAAATCTGACCGAATCTTGACTAGTCTGAGCCAAATCTATCATCTAATGTAACCTAGTCTGTTCTGATGTATCTAACCTATCTGATCTATCTATCTTTCAATCTCTCTGCATCGCGGTTTCAAGAGGTGTATACAGGGGTGTTTAGGTTTCGGGCCACGAAAAATTGGGAAGGAGGTGGCAAGTTGGGTTATGATAATAAGGATACGCTTGTTTAGGATCTCTGTACGTGCGTGTATATCTGCTTACTAAGTTTTGCGAAGAACCAAGTACACATGCCACTAAACTCCGAGAAGTTAGACAGGAGCCTCAACAATTGGTGTTCTGCTCTTTTGCGATCAAATCATCCTTGCATGATGTGTTGAGTCTGTACTCCCGAAACCTCCTCAGAATGACTACTTCAGCCTTACACTGCCGGCATTTCCCCGCAACGCGTGCAGTTGTAGAAGAACACGTCCCCAACTCTCGAAGCCTTCTTCGAGTTTCTTCGGTCCGAATAGTACTCAGGAAATCCGCAACTCTGACGCCCGAAAGCCCTAAACCCCCAACCCCAAACTCCCGGAACGATAATAATCCCAAAGCCCCAAACTGGAAACCTAAAGCCTCAAACCCAAAACACCCCGCACCCTACGTACGCTAAATCCCACCCCCCCTTAACCCCAGAGCCAAGAAGCCCTGCTGGCATCTTTTTCAGGCCCCATGGAAAGAAGTTAGTATAGGGGCCGAAGTAATGACCAGTGCTATTTTGGTGTGTTCCTTTTTACATGTATAGTATAATGGACCCCGGAACTCTAGTCTAAGTATTACGGCCCCCTTATTACATTCAGGAACCCTGAAACTTTTGTCTAGTTATTATGATAAGGCCCCTATATTGTATTCAGGAGCCCTGAAAATGGGTAGTTCTCTAAATT